AAAGAGCGCGTATAGGAAGAGGCGTGCCTTTCAGATGGAGCGGGACGAGCCCACTCGCCTCGTTCTAAAGCTTTCTAAATTGCCTTTTTCTCGGCATCGACGCGGAGCAGGCTTCGGTGAGAACCGTCGCCATCCTCTCTGCCATTACCTCGTCGGAGGTACTGCCGAGACGTCGGAGGTACCGCCGAGCTCGTCAGAGATACCGCCGAACCTGTCATTGCTCCTCACAAGTGTTCGTTTTCGGCCGTCTGGACGCCCGATTTCGTCTAATGTCATCTCTTTTTCTTTAACGCATCCCGTCTGTGTGGTCGTTGCGTCGCTGTCGACCCGTTCGGATTGATCGTCGTAATCTGATCATTCGCGTGACTAAGTCCCTCTCGTCTGACCGTGCCCATAAGCGACCGTGCGTAGGACCGTCGCCGATCGCTTAGCCGGCCTGTTGGGTAGTATAGGAGGTGCAGTGCTCTCGATCGGGCGTTGTCAGATCGTCGTGCAGGTGCGTTTGGCGAGCTTCGCACGTTCAGCATGATGTGTCTCGGCTCTCCTGAGTCGTGCCGCTATTAGAAATTATATTTTTAGACACAGCATTGCCACGAGTCGGCGTCGTAAGACCGAATGGCTCCTATGTGGCGCGCACTGTTTATCAGTGTTGGCTACGTGATCTTCTCTCGTTCGTAGACGAACGCGATCGGATATATCGTCGCAGTTACCAAGCATCAACTCCACCGGTACCGAGTAGCGGAAAGCGAGAGATCGCTTTTCACGGTTACTTGTAAAACATAGCGAAAATTTTCGTTCGTGCTTAAACGCACTAGTGACTCGTTCTTCAACGTCTGAGCATCGCGCCGTCGATCTAGCTCAGGGCGAGGCGACTATACGCCGCTACTTTTGGAGAATGAGAACAACATCTTTATAACAAATATGATCTTTATAAAATAATATTAACGGAGTAGAGTTCCAAGGAGCGTCTGTCTCCAGCTGTATATATTGCGATAGAAAGTGTCGACCAGCTTGAGGGCGCCGGCGATAATAACGGCACGGAGTATCTCGAACGAAGGGCGCTCATCACGTTCGCGGACGTGATAGAGCGCGCGTTGCTCCACGCAAGCGACCGAACTCACGAAGTTCCCTGATTGATCCTGCCAGTAATCATATACTTGTCTCAAATATTAAGTATAGTCTTAGTGCATGCTAAATTAAGGTGAAATCGCGAATGGTTCATTAAATTATCAGTTATGGTTCATTAGATTGTACCCACATTTATTTGGATAACTGTAATTCTAAAGTTAATGCATGCAAAACAGTATCTCGACCAGTGATGAGAGGGACGCTTTTATTAAATCAAAACCAATCGGTGGCGAGCGGTCTCTATCCATCGTTTATTTTGATGACTCTGAATAACTTTGTGCTGACTAACTTTGTTGCCGCAGCGGTCTTAGCATTGGCGACGCATCTTTCAAATGTTTTCCTTATCAGTTGTCGATGGTAGGTTCTGCGCCTACCATGGTTGTAACGGTAATGGCGAATCAAGGTTCGATTCCAGAGAGGGAGCCTGAGAAACGGCTATCACATCCAAGGAAGGCAGTAGGCCCGCAAATTATCTACTCCTGGCACGAGGAGATAGGTGACAAAAAATAACGATACGGAACTCATCCGAAGCCCCGTAATCGATATGAATACACTTTATCCTTTAATGAGTATCCACTGGAGGGCAAGTCTGGTGCCAGCAGCCGCGATAATTCCAGCTCCAATAGTATATATTAAAATTGTTGCGGTTAAAAAGCTTGTAGTTGAATCTGTGTCGCACACCGTCGTTCATCGCTCGCGATGTTTAATTAGCGTAATGTGGGACGTCCTACCGGTGGGCGTAGGCTCGCAAAGGGCGGCCCAACTAATATCTCGTCGCGATGCTCTTTACTGAGTGTCGAGTCGGGCTGGTACGTTTATTCTGAATAAATTAGAGTGCTTAAAGCAGGCTATCCTCGTCTGAATACTGCATGCATGGAATAATGGAATAGGACTTCTATTCTATTTTGTTGGTTTTCGGAACCCCGAGGTAATGATTAATAGGGACAGATGAGGGCATTCGTATTGTGATGTTAGAAGTGAAATTCTTGGATCGTCGCAAGATGGACAGAAGCGAAATTTGCCAAAAATGTTTTCATTAATTAAGAACGAAAGTTAAAGGTTCAAAGACGATCAGTTGTATCGATCTAGTTGTAACCATAAACGATGCCAGCTAGCGATCCGCCGAAGTTCCTCTGATGAAGTTCGGCGAACAGCTTCCGGGAAATCAAAGCTTTTGGGTTCCGGGAGAAGTCTGATTGCAAAGCTGAAATGTAAAGGAATTGAAGGGAATGGAAGAGCACCACAAGGAGTGGAGTCTGCTTAATTTGATTTAACACGGGAAACCATATTAGGCCCAGACACCGGAAAGATTGACAGATTGATAGCTCTTTCTTGATTCGGTGGGTGGTGGTGCATGGCCGTTCTTAGTTGGTGGAGCGATTTGTCTGGTTAATTCTGATAACGAGACTCTAGCCTGCTAAATAGGCATACCTTATGGTATTGCGAAGGCTCCCGGCTTCGGCCGGCGGGTTTTTACTACCAACGTACAAACAAATCTTCTTAGAGGGACAGGCGGCTTTTAGCCGCACGAGATTGAGCAATAACAGGTCTGTGATGCCCTTAGATGTTCTGGGCCGCACGCGTGCTACACTGAAGAAATCAGCGCCTGGCCGAAAGACCCGAGTAACCCGCTGAACCTCCTTCATGTTAGGGATTGGGGTTTGCAATTGTTCCTCATGAACGAGGAATTCCCAGTTAAGCGCGAGTCATAAGTTTGCGTTGATTATGTCCCTTCTCTTTGTACACACCGCCCGTCGCTACTACCGATTGAATGATTTAGTGAGGTCTTCGGACTGATGCGCGGCAATGTCTCGGCATTGCCAATGTTGCCGGAAAGATGACCAAACTTGATCATTTAGAGTAAAGCGGTCTCACTTCCGCGCACGGATAACTTCTTAGTCAGACAACTAGGTGAGGAAGTGAGAGCGACAGAGGTTGAAGTGATAATAATTCTTTTATTGATGTCTGCGATGGTGTGCGAGTAAATATGTACAACGATCGAGTCAACTATCTTGGAAGATATTTATTTCTTACGGCCGGGGTGTATAACGCGGGACGCGAGTGCTGCGTGACGCGGAGCGGGTGATGTGCGGTCGCCGGCGTGATCAGCTTCGGAGCACGCGGTATGCGCGTGGTAAATTCCGCGACTGTTTTGGAAACAGCTGATTCTGACAGAAGGATTGTTTCCAGGGTGCCGTCACTCTGGCGGGAATCGGAAGCGCTCAATTCGTCTGTCACCCATTGATTCAGGTGGAGGGATGTCGGGTGATCAGACGAGACCAGGAACCCTGGTGCTCGGAGTTGTCGTCGAGAGGGAGGCTACCCCGGTGGCTTGCCAGTCATCAGGGAGCGCCCTGACAAATAGTGACTGTCGAAGTGCTCCTCGACACGTTCTTGGAAGGTATTTGGAAATGGAATGATAAATCGCGGTAGAGAGCACTTGGCCGTGCTGGGGTGCTCCCCAGTACTTCATGATTACCTGCTTGGTTTTGAATTTGGCTTCTCGATTCCTCTTCGCATGATGCTGTGCTCGAGATGTCGGGAACGGGACAGATGCTCTCGGTGGAATGCGAGTCCCTTTTATCTGATATCGGCCGCGGTATTTCGGTACGGAATGGTTTCGGATTGGCTGATCTCGGGGTTGGGCTCTCTTTCCACGGACGGATAGGACATCCGAAGAAGAATCGGAAACGCGGCTGGGACGGTGGCGCGGTATTCGGCGCGATATGAGGAGCGCAACGGTTTCTTGGCGCAGTGTTCGGCGCGATACGGGGAGCGTGCTAGCTCCTTGGCACTGTAGTCGGCGCGGCGCGGGAAGCATGCTTGCTCTTAGACGCGGCGCAGCGTGAGCGGTGTGCTCCGCGAAGATGAGCATGTGTTCACCGAATGCCCGCGTGGATTCTTCGAGATACCTCGGAGAATCTTGTGTTTGTATGATTAAAAATGGACGCTATACGCCGGTTTGTGACGACGTATCGCATTCCGTCCGATGATCGGCAGTCCTCGACGGATGGTGTGTCGCAAAAGGAAGCGAAGGGGAGGTCGCTTTGTTATAAGAGGAAATAAAAGTCGTAAGGTTTCCGTAAGTGAATCTGTGGAAGGATCATTAACGTTACGGAGGTCCTGCTATGCCATCGGTCTCCAGGCATACAGAAGAAAAACACCAAGCGCAGCAGTCGGCGACTGTAAATATTAGATTGTTGGAAAAGTCATGACATATTTTTTCTATGTTTTTTAAAGATCATTTATTTATATAAAGAACAAAAATCAATCAATTATATATTGTCCGTTTTGTTTGATAAGCTTTTGCCATCTTTCAATGAATTTCATAATTCCTCGTTTATAGAAGGACCTATCTTTATCGGCGAACAAGATGTTGATTTATAGCCTCATCTGAATTAAACGTTATACCATGCAAAGAGTTTTGAAGAGAGCGAAACAAGTGGAAGTCTGACGACGCAAGATCAGGCGAATATGGTGGGTGTGGCAACATATTCCATCAAACTCCAATAATTTTTGACGGGTGATCAAACTTGTGTGCGGTCTTGCGTTGTCATAATGGAATACAACTCCTTTACGAGCTCTGAACATTTTTAGATGATGGATTCGTTCAAACTGTCTAACTGTCTGCCGACAATACACATTTGAATTGATTGTTTGGTTTCTTGGTAAGAGCTCGAAAAACACGACATCTTTAAAATCCCATCACACTGAGAGCATAATCTTCCTCTGATGAATATTTGCTTTTAATGTCATTTGAGGCGAATCATCACGTTGGGACCAAGACCGTTTGTGCACCGTATTGTTGTAAACAATCCACTTCTCATCACCAATTATCAGTTGCTTCAAAAAAAGAATCGTTTTTCTCACGTTTAATGAGCATATCGCAGATGTTTATATCGCGTCGTCAAATGAATTTCTTTGAGTTCATGAGGAACTCAAATATCGAGCTTGCTTACGTATCCCAATTTCTTCAGGTGAACGCTTGAATAATGGATGTTCAATGTTTCTGCAATCTCTCGTGTCGTATAACGTGGCTTTGACTCGATCAATGCCTTTATTTTGTCGTCATCAACCTCGGTGAGCCTCTCTGACCGAGGAGCGTCGTTGAGGTCAAAATCACTAGTACGGAATTTCGTGAACCATCGTTGGCACTTCTTGTGGAACATTGCCACCGTAAGCTTTACGCAACTTTTAAAAGCTTGACGCGCGTTTGTCCCTTTACGGAAGTAAAACAATAATATATGGCGAAAATGCACAGTTTGGTCTTCCATCTTCAACTTGTTATAAAATCTCCAAAACTCAACCAAATCGTTCAATTTTTTTTAGAATGAAGCTAGAACTGTCAGCTGTCAAATAACATAGCAATAACAGCAATAATAGATGCGAATGACTCTAGTACTTCCAAAAGTGAACTTGTGCCATCTGTTACAAAAATGCGTCATGACTTTTCCAACAACCCAATAGAGAGAACAGATAATACGAGATATGAAACACGAGGAATTGACGGCTTGTCATGGCAGATGTGCCGAGACGTTCGCGTCGCTCTACCGGAGACATCGGAGATGACGGGTCGACAGCGGATCGGTGTCCATGCGCGCACTTAGAGACTGCGCATCATCCGAGCGCGCGTCTTTGTCAGGGTGAGGCATTTCCGATTCTACTCTGCCTAATGATATAATACAATAAGAGATCTTAACTGACAATCTCTCTCTCGCCGTGGTCTCGCCGCAGATGGTCGCCTGCGTTCCGCTCTCGCAACGCCGAAATTCGCGACACGCGGGCGCGCTGGCTTCGCAGCCGAGGCCAGGCGGGCGACCTGCCCGGGATCCGTCCGACGGATTCGTCCAGCGCGACCGATCGAACGATTCGAAATGAAGGAATAGCGACGGTGACGACGGACGTGTTCGCGGCGGTGAAACCCGGCGGTCGGCGGACTCCATGGGAGTGTGGCACCTCGCGCGCTGCCAGTTGCCTCCGGCTTGACTTCAGGAGAGACGCCAGGCGCGTACCGGTGGTAATCTACACGATGAAGCGAGCGCATGAGCGCTTCTCGAGGGCACCGCGCCAGAACCAGTGGCGCCGGAAGCTCTGGTTTTTCAATGATTTCCGCCCCGGCCCATCGCCTCATGCTATGGGACGCTTCTCGTAAAAGTTTCCGCCGGGATGCTAGACGAGTCTCTCGCGGCCCGTCGCCGGTGTCCCGGTGCCGTAGCCTTCGTAAACGGGGAGGGGATGGTGGTCCGCGCGTGCTCGGATGCGCGGCTAGGCTGATCGAAGAGCCCCAGAGGAACGAAAGAACCCCGGTGGACAGCGAGCGTAGATATACAAAACAGAATGGGACTGTGTACCTTCGAGTCGCGTTCTCCATGGAGACGCGGCGAGAGAAAGGAAAATGCGATTACCTTGAACAATGGATTACTTGGCTTGTGAGTCAATGAAGAACGCAGTTAATTGCGCATCAATTTGTTAACTGCAGGATACGTGAACATCGACATTTCGAACGCACATTGCGATCCACGGATACAATTCCCGGACCAAGCTTGGCTGAGGGTCGTTTTAGTACCCAAAGACTGCTTTCGCCTGCGTTTGCGCGCCTCGCCTTGCGTCGCCGATGATGGCGATCGGGCGACGGCAACACGCACCGGCGTACGAGCGATCGTTAGACGTTCGCCCCATGCCGCGCGAAAGAGGCGACGGCGGCGAGAGACGCAGCGGAAACCTCTTGCGCGCACACGTAAGGCCACCAGTCGCTCTTCCGCCGCGCGCACGTCGGCTGAGCGTCGTCCGAAATGACGTTGATACGAAGGCTGACCAGGGTGCCGAGCGACTGGGCGCGAAGATAGAGGAGAAAGAAGAAACTCTCGCGAGACGTGTACGCGGGTAGAGGAGGATTCATCGGCCGGAGAGGCCCTTCC